GTTGTGAAAGAAACCCACTCCTTGCTGCAAGTATATGTCGTGGGCTAGTGGCGTTGGTTTGGAGTGTAGAATTTGGCATGTGCGGCAGAATTTCCCAGATTTTTCTCCAACCAAATTTGTTGAGTCAGCAATGTCAAGTACGCTGTTATTTGTAAACATTCATGTTAACACCGTTCACAAAATTTTTTGACACATCACCATTACATAAGTCCAGATATGTTCCATTGGAGACGTAAATTTCAATTACATTGGTAACATTGATGAATCGGCCATCTTTATTAATGTTAACACATACCCATTGGTGATGCTCTAAGTTAGTTGAGAATTGAAATAAATAAATAGATAATGACGAGTGGGACATGGCGTGATACTTTAAAGCAAAAAAAAAAAAATGACGCATCGGACATTTTAAAGGTTTTAAAATATTAGTAATAAATAATTTATGGACAAAAATGTGATTTACCAACAATTAGTGGTTATAATTGTGTTTAAAGTTGGAATATTTTTATTCATTTTCATGTGGCACAAATTACAAGTAGTCTAAAATCCAAAATTGTCCAAAAAACACTTAAAAATGAAATAAGTTCAAAGGCAAACACCTTTATTCAAACAAAAGACAAGCAAAAAGAAACGAGAGGTTTTGTGATATGGCTCACTTGGTCGATTATTCACCGCAAGTCTCTATTTTGTCAATTATTATTTCTTTCAAAAATCTAAAGTTATGATGTTAATTGCATAATTTAAAATATTTTAGAATTCATGAAGACACAATTAACATTCTAAACTTCAATTGCGAAATAAATAATGTTACCTTCAATCTATATAATTGCAACACTTTTAATTTGTTATTTTAGATTATGCAATTAACCATATAAAGTTACATTTTTGAAGGAAATAATACATGACAATGGTGCGAAAATAAATTTTTATATAAAGTTTGGGATATTTAACATGAAGTAGACCAGCATTTATATTTTGGTTTTTTATTTTATACTCCGTAATTAGTTAATTTTAGGACAAACACTTCAACATTGTGCATTGCATAGTTTATTTCGATAAATCATACGGAGTATGGAATTATGGACTATGTTATACAGTACATTTTTGTGTAATGTATTACCCATAACTTTAGCACATTATTCATTCAACCAATTTTGTTGTTACCAAATTGGTTCTTACCCTTCATTTTATAAATGCTATGCGAAGAAAAATTGGATTTAATTAAAAGATATACTCTAGTAGTTCCAAAAAGAAGGATACGAAGATGCCATATGTTATTCAAAGTTCATTTTCTTGGACTTTAATTTCAGTTACTTGACTCTAATTTTTTTTTCTTGTGTGATAATACGTGAATGCATGGCAACCTCAGCTACTACGAGGGTTTTAATAATTTTGAGGTGGTTCCGTGACAATTTTTTTAATTAAATTTTGTGTGCATTTTCTGCATGAAGTTTAGATAATGATGTCCAGCTAAAAATTTATGAGCATGTGTTTGATGGAGAACATGCTTACAAAACTTCGTCCACAAGAAACACCCTCAAAATGAGATGGCAGACCTGTTTGAAAATTTCGGACATGATTACTACTCTATATTAGGGGTGGGCACAAAAGCCCGTAACCGTTTAACCATACCGAAAAATCAGAAAACCGTTATTTTTTTCGGTTAACCTTACCGATTTTAATTAAATCATGGTACGGTTAACCAACCGCAAAAAAAAAACGGTACACGGTACGGTTATGGTTTTGAAAATAAGATATGGGCGGTTAACCGCTAACCGGTATTTCAAATAATACATGCTTCGTATGTAACCAGTAAGCTAATTTAAGGTCGTTGGTCGTATATTTCAAAAAACACTACCTGGAATCCTAGATACATATGAAACAACTCGCCTACTTTTTATTCTGTAATAATTAATAAGATTAAAACTTCATCAATTCTCAAATAACTGATACTGGAGTATTAAATAGAAAGTTCAATATTAATGGTAATGCAGTTTGGTATCTCTTTCCAGGGTTTAACTTTTCCACCTCATTGTCTAATAAAGTTGGTCGATAGTCTTGCTCTCTTATCCCTATGATGTTCGTTGATCTCGGAAAGAGTCATTCATCTATAGTGGCTTCTGATGATTGTCCTCCTTCTGGCACCTGCACCAAATAATACGGCAATAAACCAATGTGCCGATATTTGATTTGGTGGTTCAATTGCTGCTGTCGATGGTTGATCGTAGAAGGTGGTTGGACAGTCTGCCCCTCCGTAACTGCCGCCATGGAGAGATCGTGTGACTAGAGTTTGGAAGATGTTTCAAGATTGGGTTTAGTAGAATGTTGAATATTGCTCTGTTTTTCTTCCCACCTTTTTCACTCTTTTTTGGTTTGCTTGCATTAGTGGCCTGTTCGAAGTGCTTATGGTCCTTATTTGCCTCAAAACTCTCGTACCGTGGCGGATTCAGAAAATAATGTTATTGGGGGCATCATTTTTGTAATAACTCTACAATAATTACATAAAAGACCCCATTTGAATTTTCAATAATTACACAAATTACCCCATGTGCATCCTACCAATGATTGAATTAAAAAAAATGTGATTAAAGTTCTCATTATGACAAGTTCTCATTTTAAGATGTGTTCTCAATAGAACTCTCCCCCTATATATATGTGTGTGCGTGTGCGCATTTATTTAAGAAATAATTACATATTGTGACTAAAATAAAAGTACTTTAAAAAAATGTGACATCTTAATTATATTGACTAAAATAGTAGTGTTAGTCATAGTAAGAAATGGTCATTTTCTACACTTACATAACCATGACTTTATATACTAATAGTAATGATTTTGTTACAGAAGAAGGTTAAGAAGATTTGAAAAAATATTCATTCACTTAGGAACTATGTTCACAAGTACCCTTGATTGAAAAATAAAAATCACTAGTAAAGTCTCCTAAACAATTCTCATAGCAATTTTAGTCTCTTAATATATGCAAATATAAAACACTAAAAAACAAGAAAGGCTAATAAAAACGAAACCCAACAAAAAAAATGAAAATTCTTCAATTCACTTGCTTCTTTTGGATGATTGGCTTGGTGCGCTGAGTGGTTTCATTTCTTTGTAAAAAAAGAGTTGGGGGCACTTTTATGTTCTAATTGGGGGCACTTCTTTTTTATATATTAAAGTATAGCTTATTATAATTAAATTTCAGATTCTTATTGGGGGCACGTGCCCTCATTGTAGTATGTGTGCATCCGCCCCTGTCTCGTATATTCAGCAAAACGTTTCGCTCTATTTGGGATGAACTTTCCTATGTTTGATTATAGCCGAGTGTACTTTTCCACTATTTTGATTTTGAGTTTGTTGAAGTGATAAAGAGTATGAGACCTTAAAGGTCTAAGAAAAACCTTATGTTGTCCGTTTGGTGATCAGCGATTCACACTACCTCTTTAGAGGTGACTGTCCGATAATCTAATCGTAGATCATTTTTTGACAAAAATAATATGTACTCTGTAAGTAACAAAACGTAAAAATAATATCACGCTACTCAGCTCTGATACAATTTTATACAAGTAAAAATATATGGTTCATGAGATAAATAAAATTTTGACAAGTTCAATTACATATGCATGTTTTGCACAACTAGCTGAAAATATATATTTTTGAACTTTTTAATAACTGTTAGGTTTTAGTGACTGAAAAGATCTTAAAAAGGTGCTAACTGTTTAATAAAAAATTGAGTGTTTGATTTTGTTCTATTTGATATACAAGCTGTTTTGACTAATTAATATTAAAATCTACAGATTTTTCTCAAATGCTAATTAGTGTAATTTTTGAGAAAGGATCTTTTATTTTGAAAGGATCTTACAATTTACAAATTGTGATGCTAAACATATCATTAGAAATTTGTATCAACCTTTTTAAACAGTACGAAAGTAAAGTAGAGTTAGGCCCTTCGATCCGCCTTTGGACAATCACCGAATAATACTCCGATTATGAAAAGAAATTGAAGAGAGAAAAAGTAGAAGACGACTTCAGATTCCTGATAGAGAAAATTAGCAGAAGAGAACTCCTTTACGATTACCATTCTAACTATTCTTATTTTGCTGACCAATCATTCAAACAATCGCCATGAGTTTCCTCTTTGGCAAAAAGAAAACTCCAGAAGGTCCGTTCTTGACGCACATAAAGATCTACGCGTTTAATATCTAATAATATTTCAAGTGTTCTGTACAATTATGTATGATTTGAGCTTATTCAGTAGTTATTCTACTGGAAGTTTGTGATGGTCCCGGATAGAGGTAAAAGTCTAGAGGGAGTGAATAGACTTTTAAAGCTTTTTCAACTTTAAAAACTTTTCCCTTCTAGATGAGTTGATCTAAAATCTTTTGGGAGATTTATAGATGCTGTAACACCGCCCCCGAGTATTTGTACTGTACCAAATTATGTATTGAACCTTGAGAAATGTATAAAAGCATTTTTACGTGATTGTAAATTTTTATCATTTCTATTACGTGAATAGTAAAATTCACGTGGGGCCCACACCGGATGTGGGGCCGCCCGATATTATCGGGACCACATATTATATTAATCTTGGACTAGATAATATGTATATGGTGATGAATATCCTAATTGGGCCTGGTAATGACATAGAGATGACCGGTTGGTCAAATGGGGCCAGATTATCGGTATCGGCAAATTATCGGATAACAGCCCAAAAAGGGATTCCGGAGACTTCTAAATTAAAGTTGGGGAATGCATATTGATTCTAAGGTCCAATGAGGATTGGGAACAAGTGTTATATTTTATTTGACCCGATAAAATAAAATATACTTAAAACAGTCCGGAAAATACAACTTTCGGGACCGATTGTACACGACGGGATTTAAAGGGATGACCTCCCACATAAGTGGGGGCCATCCCACGAAATTAGGCTGTCAAAAGTCAGGGTATGCTGCACATAATGGGAGGGGGCAAGCATGGGCTGATTGGAGACCCAAATCATTCAATGACATGGACCCCTCTCCTAACATGATTGTGAGAAAATGCCAATATGGCATCCTCAATCACCCCCCACACCCCATATGCTGCGACTCCATCCATCAAGGGAGAAGAGAAGAGGCTCTGCAAATCCACATCTCCATTGTTGAAGGGAGCTCAATCAAGCAAGAAGCTAAATCAAGAAGGAAGAGTTGCAAAAAAATAGAGAAAAACCTTGGGAATAAAGGTGAGAAGCTTTTTGCAAACTCTTCTTCAATCTTTTCTTATCATATGACGTTCATATCAAATGGATTACCCCTAGGACTGTTCTACATGTTTAGAAGTGTAGAATGAGGGGTTGGAAGGTGGTTCTAAGCCCAAGAACGGACTTAGAAGCCAAAGTGACCGGTTCACCGGAAAATAACCTTTTGGAGGTTATTTGTATTACTATGGGTTTTATGATGATAAAACCTTGTTAGTAACTTGTCTAAGGTATTCAAGGAACTTTCACGGAGTTGAAAAGGTCGCCGGAGTTGTCGCCGGAGTTCGTTGAAGTTCGCCGGAGTTTCGTCGGAGCTAAATCGGGAAGGCTAGAACTTCATAAGCTTCATTAAGGTGAGAAGACGGCTTTATGCTTTATAACTTTTGCGTTAGGCATGAGATTACCTAAAGTAATCAAGGATATGTTTTGTGGAATGATTAAAGATAATCAAGTATTTGCTTATGCCATGATTTTGCATAAAACATAGTTGAAAAGCATGTTATGTAGGTTTGGTGATTAAAAATGTGATAATATATTTTGTGTGATGATCCAGGGATCCAAAATGGTATTTTTGGATCAAGGACATCAAGAAGTATATGTGTATAAAATTTCAAGTTAATCGGACCCCGTTTGGGGGGTAAAAAGGGGCGTTGACCGCCAAGTCAACTGACATACCCGACCGGGTATTGACACATATCCGACCGGGTATTTGTTGAAAATCTGCTTTGTGGACTACTGTCTCCTGTACTCGACCGAGTATGGGTTAATACTCGATCGAGTATTGGGTTATGCTCAAAACGGGCAGTTTTGAGTAGGTTAACGTGGGCCGTTCGGGTGGGACCCGCCCACGTTGGATCCTAAGGATTGTTATATGACTATAGGGCTAGGCATTGTCCATAGTTAAAGGAATGAAAGGTTAGCCATATCCAGGTTAGGATTTGGTAGAGAATAGACTGGGGATTGAGTGCCCTTGGACGGTAAATGATCCAGAATACTCCAGGTGGGGTCGAGTACCCTTGGACGGTAAATGATCCAGAATACTCCAGGTGGGGTCGAGTACCCTTGGACGGTAAATGATCCAGAATACTCCAGGTGGGGCCGAGTACCCTTGGACGGTAAATGATCTTAAATACTCCAGGATGGGTTGAGTGCCTTGGACGGTAAATGATCCTAAAACACTCGGTAGTATGAATCGAAGGTAGACTATAGCTTGTGAGCTAGGTAACCGGGAAAGGAGTGAGAAAAGTCAGGTAAGAACTTTATCTCTAAAAGACTATTTGAGGTAAATGACCTACGGGTTGAGTATTTTACGAGTATATGTACAGTATGTATCATCGGGTGGATGAGGGACATCTATATGTATATATCACCCTATTTTTGGGTCTCGTGTCTGAAACATTAGTTATTCTTCATATAGCCTGCTTGTCACTAGTACTTCTATGGAGTACTGACCCCTCCGGGGGCCCTCACATTTTCAGGTTGAGGCTAGAGTCCTACTACCTGCACCTTTGCCTAGGGTGATTGATCGAGAAGGAAGACGTGGTTCGTGCTTCCATTCTTATTTCAAATGTATAAACTGCTCATGGATTTTTGAACAATATTTTCATTAAAACAGTTGGGGGCCTGCGTGCCCGTGTTTGCCACATGTGGCTAAGTATCAAACATTTTATTATTTTCCGCATTTGATTGATTATGATATTGATGTTGATTGTATGTGTTTACTAATCGGTTTGGCAATAGAATAAATCGGACGCCTTGTACAACTCAATAGGGATGAACTGTTGTTGTTCTTATCGGGTTGTACGGCGGTTGTCTACGTGGCTCGGATGCGGTCCGGGGCGTGACAATTAAGTGGTATCAGAGCCATCGATTTCTAAACTATATAATTAACCTCTCAATATGGTTATCCTCAAAAAGTTTTGAATAAAACCATGAGCAACAGTTTTTGTACTTAAGGAACCGTTGGAAACCAAGTTATTGACCTCTTATTGTTAAGACGGTACCCTTAACAGTTTGTTGACCATAATGTTGGACCAAGGGGTGTCTTTTGTACTAATCCGTCAATTGACATTGAAACGAGTCTAATGACTCATTCCTTATTTCTTTCAGAAATGGAGGGTGGACGCAGGATAACTAGGAGGAACCCGACAGGGCATGTGCAGGGGGCCACCGGGCATGCCACTCGGGCGGAATCACGGACCTCTAGGGGTAGAGGCCGGGGCCAAAGCCGAGGAGGAGGCCGAGGCAGGGGTCGTGGGCGTTCTACCACGCCGACGACAAGTAGCACACGCGTCGGTTCCGTGCACCCGTCATGGGCCACCGAACCGGACGACTTCACCTATGCTCCAAGCACGGAGCAAGAGGAGACCCCGTACAACGGGGAGGACTTTGAGGAAGAAGATGAGGATGATGATCCTCATTATGACCATATGAGTGAGGTACTAGAATGGTACCTCGAGAATAAGGCAAAGAGAGAACAACGGCGCCAAGCTAGACAGGCTAGGCAGACCATGGGGCAAGGTAGCCGAGGTGCTTCTAGTGCTCCATCGGGGGCATTTGGAGGAGACACGATGGTGCGTATCTCCAAGTACCTCAAGGAGGCCAGGGCCTTGGGGTGCAAATCATTTGATGGCAAGGGCGACATATCTGAGGCCGCCGATTGGATTAAGAAGCTGAATGATGCTTCTAGGGACATGCAAATTTCACTCGACGTGAAGTTGAGGGTTGCCACCAGGTTACTAGAAGGGGTAGCTGCTGTATGGTGGGAAGGCGTGGAGGGAAAGTTCCACGGTGAAGCCACTTGGGAGGAATTCGAAGTGGAGTTCTATAATCAGTACTACTCAACTTTTGAAGTCAATCTCAAAAGAAGAGAGTACACGAACCTGAAACAGGAGGATGGTTGCTCGGTGAGGCAATTGGAACAAAGGTTCCGTGACTTGGCACGATTCATCCCAGAATACTCATTGGATGAAAATCGTATGGCCAATCACTTTTGGGATGCTCTACAGTTGGACATCCGTGACCGGGCTACTTACCATCACAGTATGACATTTAGCCAAATCGTTGATCAGGGGCTCCTTGGGGAAGCCCAATGGAACGAGAGGAAGTTGAGAGACGCCGAGGAGGCGAAGAAAAGAAGATGGGGAAACGCTGGACCCCAAGACCACTCCCGGAAGCATCATGCTGGGGGTGGCAGTTCATTCAGGGCGCCGGCACCACCGGCGAAAAGGAACAAAGGTTCAGGAGGGTAAGGGGCCAAACCAGGGAGTACATGGTCACCGAGGTGTGCAAACTGCGGCAAGAATCATGCGGGGAAGTGCAATGAACCACCCCGGTGTTACAAATGCGGTAGCACGAGCCACCTCAAATCCTCTTGTCCAATGCTGAACGGGGGAGGACCATCGGGAGCCATGGGAGGACCTACGACTAGTAGGGGACGTGCGGGGCCGTCTCAGGCCGGCACGGGAAGGAGCGGACCCACGGCTAGCAACGCCGCGTCCGTTAACCAAGGGAGGACCCAAGCACGGGTGTATGCAATGACCGAGGCTGATGCTCGGGCCAACCCGGACTCCATTGCAGGTAATCTCTTGATTTCACACGTATTTGATCATGTAATGGGTTGAAAAATCTTCAAAAATATGAAGGACCCGATCGGGTACTCCTATAGACCCGACCGGGTATAAGCTATGCTTCGAGTTTGAAGTGTGCACCCGTTCGGGCAGCCAAGACAGGATGCCTTATTTTTGACATTTCGAGCAATACCCGATCGGGTATGGCTATATACCCGACCGGGTATGTGTATATTTTGAGCTTCGAAGTGTGTACTCGATCGAGCGTAGAAGACAGGGAGCTTTTATTTGTGGATTTTGAGTGATACCCGACCGGGTATAGGTATATACCCGACCGGGTATTGACATTTTGCCCGAATTCGAGGCTGGTACTCGACCGAGCAAGGAAGACAGGGGGGTTTCCCTTTAAGAATTCGAGTGATACCCGACCGGGTAGAAGACCCTACCTGTAACACCGCCCCCGAGTATTTGTACTGTACCAAATTATGTATTGAACCTGGAGAAATGTATAAAAGCATTTTTACGTGATTGTAAATTTTTTATCATTTCTATTACGTGAATAGTAAAATTCACGTGGGGCCCACACCGGATGTGGGGCCGCCCGATATTATCGGAACCACATATTATATTAATCTTGGACTAGATAATATGTATATGGTGATGGATATCCAAATTGGGCCATGGCAATGGCATGGAGATGACCGGTTGGTCAAATGGGGCCAGATTATCGGTATCGGCAAATTATCGGATAACAGCCCAAAAAGGGATTCCGGAGACTTCTAAATTAAAGTTGGGGAATGCATATTGATTCTATGTTCCAATGAGGATTGGGAACAAGTGTTATATTTTATTTGACCCGATAAAATAAAATATACTTAAAACAGTCCGGAAAATACAACTTTCGGGACCGATTGCACACTTGGGAACATAAAGGGATGGACTCCCACATGAGTGGGGGCCACCCCACGAATTTGGTGCTGCAAATGTCAAAGGGAGCCGCACCTAATGCTGCTGATTGAGGCTGGAGATGAGTGGGAGACAAGATGAGAAAGGAAAGGGGCCCTCCTCCCACATTATTATGAATGAGCCAAAAGAAGGAACCATCCTCACCCCCCACACCTCATCCACTCGACCCAGACCTCAATCATAGGGAGAGAAGCTCTGCTAAAACTCCATTTTCATCCACCATTTTCGCACAAAGCAAGGGGAGGAAGAAGGAAGGGAAAAGAGAAGAGAAAAGTTGGTTTCGGAGAGGAAAACTTGTGTTTAGCAAGGTAAGGACTCCATTAATCCCATTTCTTGTTCTTTAATACTCTTATATGACTATTCAATCATATTTCACACCCTAGGATTGTTCTACACGTTTGGAAGTGTAGAATGAAGGGTTGGAAGGTGGTTCTAAGCCCAAGAACGGACTTAGAAGCCAAAGTGACCGGTTCGCCGGAAAATAACCTTTTGGAGGTTATTTGTATTACTATGGGTTTTATGATGATAAAACCTTGTTAGTAACTTGTCTAAGGTATTCGAGGAACTTTCACGGAGTTGAAAAGGTCGCCGGAGTTGTCGCCGGAGTTCGTTGAAGTTCGCCGGAGTTTCGTCGGAGCTAAATCGGGGAGGCTAGAACTTCATAAGCTTCATTAAGGTGAGAAGACGGCTTTATGCTTTATAACTTTTGCGTGAGGCATGAGATTACCTAAAGTAATCAGGAATATGTTTTGTGGAATGATTAAAGATAACCAAGTGTGTGTTTATTCCATGATTATACACAAAACATAGTTAAAAAGCATGTTATGTAGGTTTGGTGATTAAAAATGTGATAACATATTTTGTGTGATGATCCAGGGATCCAAAACGGTATTTTTGGATTAAGGACATCAAGAAGTATATGTGTATAAAATTTCAAGTTAATCGGACTCCGTTTGGGGGGTCAAAAGGGGCGTTGACCGCTAAGTCAACTGCCATACCCGATCAGGTATTGACACATACCCGACCGGGTATTTGTTGAAAATCAGCTTTGTGGACTACTGTCTCCTGTACTCGACCGAGTATGGGTTAATACTCGATCGAGTATTGGGTTATGCTCAAAACGGGCAGTTTTGAGCGGGTTAATGTGGGCCGTTCGGGTGGGACCCGCCCACGTTGGATCCTAAGGATTGTTATATGACTATAGGGCTAGGAATTGTCCATAGTTAAAGGAATGAAAGGTTAGCCATATCCAGGTTAGGATTTGGTAGAGAATAGACTGGGGATTGAGTGCCCTTGGACGGTAAATGATCCAGAATACTCCAGGTGGGGTCGAGTACCCTTGGACGGTAAATGATCCAGAATACTCCAGGTGGGGTCGAGTACCCTTGGACGGTAAATGATCCAGAATACTCCAGGTGGGGTCGAGTACCCTTGGACGGTAAATGATCCAGAATACTCCAGGTGGGGCCGAGTACCCTTGGACGGTAAATGATCTTAAATACTCCAGGATGGGTTGAGTGCCTTGGACGGTAAATGATCCTAAAACACTCGGTAGTATGAATCAAAGTTAGACTATAGCTTGTGAGCTAGATAACCGGGGAAGGAGTGAGAAAAGTCAGGTAAGAACTTTATCTCTAAAAGACTCTTTAAAGTAAATGACCTACGGGTTGAGTATTTTACGAGTATATATACAGTATGTATCATCGGGTGGATGAGGGACATCTATATGTATATATCACCCTATTTTTGGGTCTCGTGTCTGAAACATTAGTTATTCTTCATATAGCCTGCTTGTCACTAGTACTTCTATGGAGTACTGACCCCTCCGGGGGCCCTCACATTTTTCAGGTTGAGGCTAGAGTCCTACTACCTGCACCTTTGCCTAGGGTGACTGATCGAGAAGGAAGACGTGGTTCGTGCTTCCATTCTTATTTCAAATGTATAAACCGCTCATGTATTTTGAACAATATTTTCATTAAAACAGTTGGGGGCCTGCGTGCCCGTGTTTGCCACGTGTGGCTAAGTATCAAACATTTTATTATTCCGCATTTGTTTGATTATGATATTGATGTTGATTGTATGTGTTTACTAATCGGTTTGGCAATAGAATCAATCGGACGCCTTGTACAACTCAATAGGGATGAACTGTCGTTGTTCTTATCGGGTTGTACGGCGGTTGTCTACGTGGCTCGGATGCGGTCCGGGGCGTGACAATTAAGTGGTATCAGAGCCATCGATTTCTAAACTATATAATTAACCTCTCAATATGGTTATCCTCAAAAAGTTTCGAATAAAACCATGAGCAACAGTTTTTGTACTTAAGGAACCGTTGGAAACCAAGTTATTGACCTCTTATTGTTAAGACGGTACCCTTAACAGTTTGTTGGCCATAATGTTGGACCAAGTGGTGTCTTTTGTACTACTCCGTCAATTGACATTGAAACGAGTCTAATGACTCATTCCTTATTTCTTTCAGAAATGGAGGGTGGACGCAGGATAACTAGGAGGAACCCGACAGGGCATGTGCCGGGGGCCACCGGGCATGCCACTCGGGCGGAATCACGGACCTCTAGGGGTAGAGGCCGGGGCCAAAGCCGAGGAGGAGGCCGAGGCAGGGGTCGTGGGCGTTCTACCACGCCGACGACAAGTAGCACACGCGTCGGTTCCGTGCACCCGTCATGGGCCACCGAACCGGACGACTTCACCTATGCTCCAAGCACGGAGCAAGAGGAGACCCCGTACAACGTGGAGGACTTTGAGGAAGAAGATGAGGATGATGATCCTCATTATGACCGTATGAGTGAGGTACTGGAATGGTACCTCGAGAATAAGGCAAAGCGGGAACAACGGCGCCAAGCTAGACAGGCTAGGCAAACCATGGGGCAGGGAAGCCGAGGTGCTTCTAGTGCTCCATCGGGGGCATTTGGAGGAGACACGATGGTGCGTATCTCCAAGTACCTCAAGGAGGCCAGGGCGTTGGGGTGCAAATCATTTGATGGCAAGGGCGACATATCTGAAGCCGCCGACTGGATTAAGAAGCTGAATGATGCTTCTAGGGACATGCAAATTTCAATCGACGTGAAGTTGAGGGTTGCCACCAGGTTACTAGAAGGGGTAGCTGCTGTATGGTGGGAAGGCGTGGAGGGGAAGTTCCACGGTGAAGCCACTTGGGAGGAATTCGAAGTGGAGTTCTATAATCAGTACTACTCAACTTTTGAGGTCAATCTCAAAAGAAGAGAGTACACGAACCTGAAACAGGAGGATGGTTGCTCGGTGAGGCAATTGGAACAAAGGTTCCGTGACTTGGCACGATTCATCCCAGAATACTCATTGGATGAAAATCGTATGGCCAATCACTTTTGGGATGCTCTACAGTTGGACATCCGTGACCGGGCTACTTACCATCACAGTATGACATTTAGCCAAATCGTTGATCAGGGGCTCCTTGGGGAAGCCCAATGGAACGAGAGGAAGTTGAGAGACGCCGAGGAGGCGAAGAAAAGAAGATGGGGAAACGCTGGACCCCAAGACCACACCCGGAAGCATCATGCTGGGGGTGGCAGTTCATTCAGGGCGCCGGCACCACCGGCGAAAAGGAACAAAGGTCCAGGAGGGCAAGGGGCCAAACCAGGGAGTACATGGTCACCGAGGTGTGCAAACTGCGGCAAGAATCATGCGGGGAAGTGCAATGAACCACCCCGGTGTTACAAATGCGGTAGCACGAGCCACCTCAAATCCTCTTGTCCAATGCTGAACGGGGGAGGACCATCGGGAGCCATGGGAGGACCTACGACTAGTAGGGGACGTGCGGGGCCGTCTCAGGCCGGCACGGGAAGGAGCGGACCCACGGCTAGCAACGCCGCGTCCGTTAACCAAGGGAGGACCCAAGCACGGGTGTATGCAATGACCGAGGCTGATGCTCGGGCCAACCCGGACTCCATTGCAGGTAATCTCTTGATTTCACACGTATTTGATCATGTAATGGGTTGAAAAATCTTCAAAAATATGGAGAACCCGATCGGGTACTCCTATAGACCCGACCGGGTATAAGCTATGCTTCGAGTTTGAAGTGTGCACCCGTTCGGGCAGCCAAGGCAGGATGCCTTATTTTTGACATTTTGAGCAATACCCGATCGGGTATGGCTATATACTCGACCGGGTATGTGTATATTTTGAGCTTCGAAGTGTGTACTCGATCGAGCGTAGAAAACAGGGAGCTTTTATTTATGGATTTTGAGTGATACCCGACCGGGTATAGTATATACCCGACCGGGTATTGACATTTTGCCCGAATTCGAGGCTGGTACTCGACCGAGCAAGGATAACAGGGGGGTTTCCCCTTAAGAATTCGAGAGATACCCGACCGGGTAGCAGACCCTACCCGACCGGGTATAGGGTAATTCTAGGCTGAAATTTTTCCGTCCGGTCCTTTTCTGTCGGGACGACGACTAGGGTGTCTTACATGACTTATATATGTAGGAACACTAAAGATCAACGGTAGGGATGCGAGAATTCTCATCGATACCGGGGCACAACGTTCATTTGTGAGCGAAGCGTTTGCCAAGGGATTGAACATACCTTTGGTAGCAATGATGCAACCTTTGCTGGTCTCTACGCCATTGGGAGATGATGTAGAGCGGAAACACTACTATCCCTCGTGTAACGTAGGGATAGGGGGGCACTGTCTAACGGGTGACCTTGTGCCGTTAGATATGCTCGAGTTTGATGCTATACTTGGCATGGATTGGCTCGAAAAACACCATGCGAAGGTAGATTGCTACACCAAGGTGTTAGAATTAAAGGATGGAGGAGGAAACACTCTATGCTTCGAGGGAGATAGGGGGAAATTCAACCCTTGTATCATATCGGCCATAAGAGCAAGGCGTATGATGAGGAAAGGGTGTCAAGCATACTTGGCCTATGTCATAGGCAAGGAGGGCAAGGAAAAGAGTCTCACTGAGGTGAGAGTGGTGAGTGAGTACCCAGAAGTTTTCCCTGAAGAACTCCCGGGACTCCCACCAGATCGAGAAATTGAGTTCACCATTGAGGTAGAACCCGGTACAAAACCCATCTCGATTCCTCCATATCGGATGGCACCGGCTGAACTTCAAGAGTTGAAGGTGCAATTGGAAGAATTGCTGGACAGCGGATTCATCAGGCCGAGTCATTCACCATGGGGAGCACCGGTACTATTTGTAAAGAAGAAGGATGGTACACTCAGAATGTGTATCGACTACCGTCAGTTGAACAAGGTCACGATAAAGAACAAATATCCTTTGCCAAGGATCGATGACTTGTTTGATCAACTACGGGGGGCAACGGTGTTCTCTAAGATTGACTTGAGGTCAGGCTACCATCAACTAAAGATCAAGGAGGGTGACATACCCAAAAGTGCATTCCGTACGAGGTATGGTCACTATGAGTTTCTAGTAATGTCGTTTGGGCTTACGAACGCCCCCGCGGCATTCATGGACCTCATGAACCGAGTATTTCACCAATACTTAGACCAGTTCGTCATAGTGTTCATTGATGACATTTTGATATACTCCATGAATGAAGAGGAACACGAAAAAACATCTAAGGCTTGTGCTTGAAACACTGCGGGAGAAGCAACTCTTTGCCAAATTCTCTAAATGCGAATTTTGGCTTGGGGAGATCGGTTTTCTCGGGCATGTGGTATCGGGCTCGGGCATTTCAGTTGATAACTCCAAGATTGAGGCGGTCACTAATTGGGAGAGGCCCAAGAACGTGAAGGAGATAAGGAGTTTCCTCGGTTTAGCGGGGTATTACCGCAAATTCGTGGAAAAGTTCTCGGTGATAGCATCCCCACTCACGAAGCTCACTAAAAAGGGGGCTAAGTTTGTGTGGGATGACAAGTGTGAGAAGGGGTTTCTTGAGCTAAAGAAACGTTTGACCGAAGCACCAGTGCATGCCTTGCCCGTGCAAGGGTTAGGGTATGACATCTACAGCGATGCTAGCATTCAGGGACTGGGATGTGTACTGATGCAATCAGGGAAGGTAATTGCTTATGCTTCTCGGCAGTTGAGGAAGCATGAAGTAAACTACCCCACACATGATCTGGAGCTAGGTGCTGTGGTATTTGCATTGAAGATTTGGAGGCACTACCTCTACGGGGAGTTGTGTCACATTTACACCGACCACAAGAGCCTGAAGTATGTGTTCACTCAGAAAGAGTTGAACATGAGACAGAGGAGATGGATGGAGTTGATTAAGGATTACAACTTGATCATTGACTATCATCCAGGCAAGGCTAATGTTGTAGCTGATGCACTGAGCAGGAAGAGCTCATCATCAGGGGTTTTACTCACATGCTTACGGGCACTAAGGGCACGCGTGGAGGTATCCACGGGTGGGGCGCTATTGGCCAGATTTGAGGTGAGACCCACCTTATTAGATGAAATCAGAACATGTCAAGGCAATGACGAGGAATTTCAGAAAATCCGGGGACGGATGCTTGTGGGGCCCGTCGAGGGTTTCCGTGAGAGGGAAGATGGACTTCTACTATTCAAGGAACGAGTGTGTGTACCATCGGATGAGGAGCTACGAAAATCTATCCTTGAGGAGGCTCACTCATCTGCGTATGCCATGCACCCGGGCGGTACAAAGATGTACCGGGATTTGAAGGAAAGCTACTGGTGGTCGGGGATGAAGAGAGAAATTGCAGAATGCGTGAGCCGTTGCCTTACTTGTCAACAGGTTAAGGCAGAGCACCAACACCCGGCAGGGTTACTACAACCACTTACCATTCCAGAATGGAAGTGGGAGCATGTTACCATGGACTTCGTGGTGGGTCTACCACGGACGGTCAGGAACTACGACGCAGTATGGGTGGTAGTCGATAGGCTGACCAAGAGCGCTCAGTTCCTACCTATCAACACTACCTATACGCTCGAGCGGTTGGCCAAATTGTACACACATGAGATTGTGAGACTGCATGGGGTTCCGGTTACTATAGTATCGGATAGAGACCCACGGTTCACATCACGGTTTTGGCCTAAGTTCCAGGAATCCATGGGTACGAAATTGAGGTTTAGCACCGCGTTTCATCCTCAAACGGATGGGCAATCTGAACGGGTGATTCAGATCTTGGAGGACATGTTAAGGGCATGTGCCTTGGAGTTCCATGGGAGCTGGGACAATCAGTTGGCTTTAGTGGAATTTGCCTATAACAACAGTTATCAGGCAAGTATAGGCATGCCTCCATACGAGGCATTGTATGGGAGGAAATGCCGGACACCATTGTGTTGGGATGAGGTCGGCGAGGCTAAGCTCGAGGGCACCGAGTTAGTCGAGATCACTAAGGAGAAGATAAAGGTCATACAGGATAGGCTCAAGGCTGCCCAAGACCGGCAGAAGAGCTATGCTGATAAACGTCGGAGGACGTTGGAGTTCGAGGTTGGTGACGAGGTATTTCTGAGGGTATCACCTTGGAAAGGGATCATCAGGTTCCTCAGTCGGGGTAAGCTTAACCCACGTTACATAGGTCCGTTCAAAATCCTTGAAAAGGTTGGGGTTGTAGCATACCGACTTCAGTTGACCCCAGAGTTAGAAAAGATTCATAATGTATTTCATGTTTCTATGCTCAAGAAGTATGTGCGGGACCCGTCACATATTCTTGAGAAACCACCGGTGGAAATCTGAGAAGACCTACACTATACGGTGCAGCCGGTGAAAATCATGGACCGACAGGTAAAGAAGCTAAGGAACAAAGAGGTGCCGATGGTAAAAGTACTTTGGAAGAGTGATCGTGTCGAGGAGCAAACTTGGGAAGTGGAGACCCTGATGAGGGAACAATATCCATTTCTGTTTGACTAAACGCGTGGATTTCGGGGACGAAATCCCAAATAAGGGGGGTAGAACTTGTAACACCGCCCCCGAGTATTTGTACTGTACCAAATTATGTATTGAACCTGGAGAAATGTATAAAAGCATTTTTACGTGATTGTAAATTTTTTATCATTTCTATTACGTGAATAGTAAAATTCACGTGGGGCCCACACCGGATGTGGGGCCGCCCGATATTATCGGAACCACATATTATATTAATCTTGGACTAGATAATATGTATATGGTGATGGATATCCAAATTGGGCCATGGCAATGGCATGGAGATGACCGGTTGGTCAAATGGGGCCAGATTATCGGTATCGGCAAATTATCGGATAACAGCCCAAAAAGGGATTCCGGAGACTTCTAAATTAAAGTTGGGGAATGCATATTGATTCTATGTTCCAATGAGGATTGGGAACAAGTGTTATATTTTATTTGACCCGATAAAATAAAATATACTTAAAACAGTCCGGAAAATACAACTTTCGGGACCGATTGCACACTTGGGAACATAAAGGGATGGACTCCCACATGAGTGGGGGCCACCCCACGAATTTGGTGCTGCAAATGTCAAAGGGAGCCGCACCTAATGCTGCTGATTGAGGCTGGAGATGAGTGGGAGACAAGATGAGAAAGGAAAGGGGCCCTCCTCCCACATTATTATGAATGAGCCAAAAGAAGGAACCATCCTCACCCCCCACACCTCATCCACTCGACCCAGACCTCAATCATAGGGAGAGAAGCTCTGCTAAAACTCCATTTTCATCCACCATTTTCGCACAAAGCAAGGGGAGGAAGAAGGAAGGGAAAAGAGAAGAGAAAAGTTGGTTTCGGAGAGGAAAACTTGTGTTTAGCAAGGTAAGGACTCCATTAATCCCATTTCTTGTTCTTTAATACTCTTATATGACTATTCAATCATATTTCACACCCTAGGATTGTTCTACACGTTTGGAAGTGTAGAATGAAGGGTTGGAAGGTGGTTCTAAGCCCAAGAACGGACTTAGAAGCCAAAGTGACCGGTTCGCCGGAAAATAACCTTTTGGAGGTTATTTGTATTACTATGGGTTTTATGATGATAAAACCTTGTTAGTAACTTGTCTAAGGTATTCGAGGAACTTTCACGGAGTTGAAAAGGTCGCCGGAGTTGTCGCCGGAGTTCGTTGAAGTTCGCCGGAGTTTCGTCGGAGCTAAATCGGGGAGGCTAGAACTTCATAAGCTTCATTAAGGTGAGAAGACGGCTTTATGCTTTATAACTTTTGCGTGAGGCATGAGATTACCTAAAGTAATCAGGAATATGTTTTGTGGAATGATTAAAGATAACCAAGTGTGTGTTTATTCCATGATTATACACAAAACATAGTTAAAAAGCATGTTATGTAGGTTTGGTGATTAAAAATGTGATAACATATTTTGTGTGATGATCCAGGGATCCAAAACGGTATTTTTGGATTAAGGACATCAAGAAGTATATGTGTATAAAATTTCAAGTTAATCGGACTCCGTTTGGGGGGTCAAAAGGGGCGTTGACCGCTAAGTCAACTGCCATACCCGATCGGGTATTGACACATACCCGACCGGGTATTTGTTGAAAATCAGCTTTGTGGACTACTGTCTCCTGTACTCGACCGAGTATGGGTTAATACTCGATCGAGTATTGGGTTATGCT